ACTTTTTTTTTTTAATTCTAGGAGTTGTTATTAAAACTACTAGTTTGTTGGAAATTGCTCATTTGGGCCACAAACTCATGCGATTAAAGTTGGACGCTGATCGACCCCTTCTCTAAGTAAAATACGAAAAATCGCTTCGCGCTAACTCTGTTGCACGGTGTACCGCCTCCGTGAGAGACGCATAAAACCTTGGTAGCACTACTGCTATTAAAGACCAATTTACATAATTTAATTTGAAGTGAGCTTTTCTCCGGGTTTGTCAAAAGGCTGGTGAGCTTTTCTCCGGACCCGCACAAAACTGAGTGAGCTTTTCTCCGGCGAGCTTTTCTCCGGTGAGCTTTTCTCCAGTGAGCTTTTCTCCGGTCAGCTTATCTCCGGTGAGCTTTTCTCCGGTGGGCTTTTCTCTGAGATTCAAAGGGGACAGAGACCTCGTCAGGCATCACGCCTTTAGTCTCCGCCCACCTCCGATCAATCGCGAAAAGGAAGAATAAAGAAAGAAAAAACCTAAATCAACGGCCCACTGAATTGAATGACATAGCTTGTGTGTTACTGTTGAAGGTCACATTTTCTATCTGGTCGCCATAAGCGGGTCTCTGCAATTTTAAACCGTCTCCCTGCGTGACGTGTGTCACCGTTTGTAGGGTTATTCACTACGCGAGATACTGTTTTGTTGTCAACGCCGTACACAAGTTTTCAAACGATGACCTCATTAGAATCATCGCTGCGTGAAGTGTTTAAATAATGCTCCCTTGATGCTCGCCCGTGCGTGGCAGGCCGCATCGAGTCGACAACACCATCAACATATGCGCAACTTTGTCCACGCTTTGTTGGCTCAATCAGCGTAAACCACTGCTCTCTAAAGCACCACCTTGTTATAGCCGGCGACACTGAAAACAGGAGGCTTCAGCGCCACTCGCCGCGACGCCACAAGGTGGCTTAAATGAGAAGTATAAATACGATTGGTTGAACGACTTGATGACGCGGCGTTTTAGGTTGTGTAGGCTACGTCATGGCGGCGGTTGTCCAATCCCGCTTGAGATTGAGCTTTCACTTTGATGGTCCAACGGTCTGTTCTCCGACCTCTTGTTTTCAAGGTTCCGGGTGTTATAAAACGAATAAAAAAAAGTACCATGACGTCTTTTGGCGGTACGACCAGGTGCGTCGGGTTGCGTGGCTAGCGCTCCGCCAATCGCGGTCGATAGCTTCCGTTTTCACTACGGTTATTGGGCCTCCTTGAATGTTAGTGACGTCATCATTGAAGGGCGGTCTCTTCTATGCCATTAGTTGATTCACTTAACACGGTGCCTGCAGTGGAGCTCTAGACATTGACCAGACGGGTTCTTCTATGGGTAAGCTAACAAATTTTGTGACCCGTTCAACTTTGTTGTGCGCCATGAGAAAATTCTGAGATTGCCCTTCTAGTACACAGTTCGTGTTATAGAACTGCCCATTTAAAGCCGTTTAAATTGTCATTCGTGCGGCTTTGTTTTCCTGCAGAAGGCATTTTAGTCGCAATTTTTTGTTTGAGTGCACAATAATCAAACGTTGATGTTGAGTCTAACTCGCTCCCTTTGTCTGAAGATCGACTCACGGTTTAGCCGTATCGCGATGCAAATATACCAGGAGAGGACTTTATAACGGCATTTTATAGTATATTGATACGATTCTTGCACTCGCTGCATTTCTGTATTAAACCGGTATATATTTGGGTATAATCCTGATAATGCGAGACGATCGGGGGCCGTTATATCTCGCTACTTTTTTGAGGAATCAATGGCATAAGATTTAAGTGTAACTCATAATACTCTACTCAAGTGGCGTTTCAAGTATATATACTTTTTGTGGATAACATGGTATCTTGCAAAAACTTCGAGAAGTCAATGTACGCTAGCTTAAATACTATTTTCAAGTAACTTTTATTTACTTCGTAAGTTACTTTCACTTTTTTTTTTCAGGGGAGGATCGGAAAAATGACCAACTTTGATTGTTTTGGTAGGCGTACTGCGACTGCATGCATCTCGTCTTAAATATTCAAAGGCACACCCGTTCTTAGAAGCATCCCACAAAAGCAGTGTCACCGCCTTAGTGCACCTTCTGGCCATTCGTTTGTCGCTAAACGTAGGACCGAGCGTAGCCCTCTCGACCCAGAACCCAAAGTAGGAGGACATTTGGATGATCATCATGTATGTGCATCTCTAGTTCAGTATAAGTAGGATCTCGTCTTTTCGGATAAATCCACAAAGCTCTGCAAAACAAATTGGCGGTAAAATTTTCGTCGTCGAATTTGTCATAAAAACTGAGAATTTCGAGACAAAATATTGCAGAAAAAAGTAGAACGCAAAGAAATGCGGTGTTTTACAAACAAAAGTATATGTGTACATGGTCGGTAGACCTGAGAGGAGGCAACTTCAGTTTCTTTTGAAATATTAGGCTATTGATAAAAGAGAGTTTTCCATTAATCTCGTCAAGATTCGAACAACGGGTCGTTGTATTTCTGGGCCACGACAGAAACCTTTGTTCCGAGTTCCAGATTAGTGTATACTATTTGTGCTTCGCAAAAAAAAAAAAAAAAGATTTTTTTTTTTTAAGTAAGAGTGAAACTTGCAGATTTCATAGGGGGGGGGGGGGAAGGGGGGCGGGGCAGGGCAGCTGTAGCTTACCAGACGTCCAGGTGTTGATTTCGAAAGATTGACCTTAACTGAAGCAGCGTTTCTTTGCAAAACTTGTCGTGGGACAATGAGTATTGCCAATGGCAAGGGCGCCAATGCCAAAGGTAGCTCCAATAAACTCCGAATTTTCACCAACAATAAACTGGGAAGAACACCCTCCAACTTTGGGAGGAGAGAAAAGCTCACCGGAGGAAAACTCACCGAAAAACCGGCAGATGCGGAGAAAAGCTCACCGCCCTGTGAGCGGATGCGGAGAAAACCTCACCGATTTTTTTAACTTCCGCGACAATCGTGGCAATTAAACACAATTCGCATTCGTCACTTCATTAAAAATATTTCGTCTTTTTTTAATATTCTTGAAGTTCATTGGGCATATTTACTAATTCTTCCGAAATTAGAAATCACCCATTCTCTATATCAATGAAGCCGCAAGTATAATATGAGAACATCGTACACCTGTAAAAAAGACAACAATTGATTGGCAATGCGACGTCAATAGCTCTCTCAAATAAAGATGTCGGCACTTTGCGACTTAATATGAATAGCGGTGTGTGAGCCGTTTATGCTCCAAATATCGCGTAGTGCAGAATAGATAAGTAGGTGTTTCTTGATGTAATCAGCGTCCGTTACGCTGTTTTCTTTCTGTTAATTTCAGTAGCAAAACTTTAGTCGCGAGAACAGCTTCGTCCTGTCGTGTTTGTTATCTTCACTCTGTCGTCATCGTTTGGGCGGTTTCCATCATGTATAAGCTTTACCAACTCGCCCTATTCGCTACCTTACAGAACACTACTTCTTGTATAGGTCGCGAGTAACAACGGTACCAGTGTGCAGCTCTGAAGGTCATGGGGGGCTCACCGTAGAAGGGCACCATCACACAAAAGCAACGTGTGGAAACACCACCACGAACGGTTAGAAAACGAGCATGTCCGTGGAAGAAAGAAATCTCAATATCCTACTAACTGTTTTATCCGGTTAACAAAAGCTTCAAAGGGAATTTCAGGCACCGTGTTGTTTTGCATGCACTTTCAGATTTTCGGCATTTACTGTCTTGATTTTTAGGTTTTAGGCAGACATTATTCAGTTTTGGAACTTTTTCCTGTTCTTCAAGTTCATAAAGATTTCAGTTAGGCTTTCGTTGCCTAGAGACTAAGCCAAAGAAAACACTGGCCCGCAATCATTAATTAAATGCCCAATAAGCTTAACAAATAATACAAAACGTACATTTTCTGTTTTACAAAGATGACGAATTTTAATGATAATAAATTGATATATGTTACGCATGATCCAACAGCCTCCATATAAAAACAAGAAAAAAAATCGGTGTGCTTTTCTCCGCGTACGCTTAATGGCCGTTGAGCTTTTCTCCGCATATGCCGGTTTTGCGGTGAGCTTTTCTCCCGTGAGCTTTTCTCCGAGATTCCCAAATTTGATCCAAAATAAACTCCGAAAGCACGGAGTTCTGATTAAAAGCCAAGGTGGGAGGACATATGTGTCCCTTGGAGCTTTTTAGAGATGGACTGCTACAAAAACCTGGAAAAAAATCAACAATATACAGTTTTTTTTGTTTGTTTTTTTTTGGGGGGGGGGGGGGGTTGGGGAGAATGGAAAGGTGAAAACGCACCTTTTCTCCCGATCTCATGAATAGAACACCTGTTCGTATAATTTTATTTTCGTTAGTTCTTTACTTGCCGAACAAATTGAAGCCAGAAAGAATCTCCAAAATAACGAGTCACGTTTTTGAGTTCAGAATCTAATACTCTACTCAAGTACCTTTAGAGTTAAATATTTAGTAGAGTAGACAGTTACTAATGTAGCTGCTTCTCAGTGCACCTAACTGAAAGGCTTATTTGAGTATTTCGTACAAGTCCGGTTTGCCTCAAATCGAGAAATCGAGCTGACGTTTTCTTGTTTTTGCTTGAGAGGGGTTAAGGAGGGGACGTGAATGCTTTGTGATCGTGTAGGCCAGATAATACGCCCGGGAAATTTCGTCTTAGACCATATGTTACCTCTTGTTAATTCTGTAAAGATAAGAAAACTTCCGGGATGCTTTAGGTGGTCGAACATTCTTCTGCTATATCGGAAAAGTTGAAGGCGCTGGCTGCACGAGCTTTGAAAAGTATAGTCCATTGCCCTCATAGGCGAGGGTGAAGTTTCCGTTTTCTGATTCAATCAACAGATAAAGAGAAAAAAAAACGCTAGTTCATTCCGCCGTACAATATCAGATAACTGGTGATACACGGGCCCTCTCTGGACAAGCGCATGATTACATCTCGAGGTGATCTTAGCGGGTATAAAAATGGGAGCTCCATGCGATTTTGCCCCAGAGGCGCAATAGACGCCGAAAAGAAAACCGCGTTTTATTTTTGGCGGCAAGTTTTGGTCAACCCATTGCTTTTATCACTGCTCTAAAAGCGAAATGTGTATTTTGCGGAAAATTATTTTCCGGCTTCGAAACGTCGTTGTCAAAAGTCATGCTGCATCTCACAGTGAGTACGTTTGTTTGTTGGTTTAAAAAGCTATTCCGTATATTTGTTTAATAAAGTAACTCAAAATCTGCTTTTATTTTTTTTTTTGGGGGGGGGGGGAGGGGGTATGCAGGTATAGAACATCTAGAATATTTTTTTTTTAGAAATATCTATTTCAGTGATAGCTAGTATTTTTGTCCACGGAAAAAATGTACTGCCGTATTTGTGTTTCCAACTATTTGTTCACCTATTTCTAAGATGCGTTTCTGATATATGTCGCGATACTTTGTTATCAATGTATTTCAGAATCATTTTCAAGTGAATGCCCCAGAATCCCCGTATTTGTATTTTCAAATAAAATTTAGTCGGGTATTTTTGCTCAACCGTGATAGACTAAATCGGAACTAATACGGCGTGCAAGTACGTTTGGTCCTTGCTCACCGCGTGCGCTTGTTTACCCCCCTAAATGCGTCCACGTGCTTTTGTCCCCCCCCCCCCCCCCCCCCCCCGACCTCGACCAATGACGGCACGCGCTTGGCTGCCTTGTCATCGCGCATTCACTGTACCACTCTTTATATTGTGCTTTGATTGCATTCCGATGCGCCAAAGACATGGGAGCACTTGCTCGCCATATAAGTTGTTAGCGAGGAGTCAGTTCGGTCGCCTCGCCACTTTTATTTTTGTTTAGGTTCCGTAGGTTCTATTAGATTTCATCAGCTATACTTACCCGAAAGTTCGAAAATCAGTTTCCAATACATAATAAATACAGAATCAATACACAATATTGCGTAGCAGATGATATGACCAAGAAGCGACTAGTTGGTTGGCGAATCAAAGAGCGTGAGGCCCACGAACGAACGATCATGCTGTCGACGATAACTTCTTGAAAAAGCTGAATTAAAGGGACGTCGGCATTCACGCCAACATGTGTCTTAAAGGGAAGCTACGGAGCTTCTTGAAAAAAATGAGTTAGAAGTGAATTCTAGTGTATTTTTACCTCGTGAACCCGAATACCGAAACCATTTTCCGCGCAAGTGTTTTTAAACGCGAGAAAAACGCGAAAGACTGTCGCTGTCCGTGACGTCATCGACGGATCTTTTGGCTTGCCAAGGCTAGGGAGGCGGGGCTTCAGCCCTATTTTCAAATTGCTCGTATTGCTCTCCGGCGCGTCGCATTGAAATATAATTGTGATATCTGCTATTCTAAAGGCCAAATGAATGCAATTCAAGCATTTTTTCTCAAATGTAGAAGTGCCCCATCTTCCCTTTAAGTGCTCCAGGGGATCAACGAAGTGCCCACTTCGTCGACAGCTTGAGGCCTACCTTTGACATGCCCGTGGGGACAGACACGATCTTGAGAAAAGTATTAATCGACTTAATCATATTCTGCACGAAAGTTGCGAAAGAGCAAAGTTACACCATGCAAGTTTGTGGTGTCGTCATGCTACTAAGCAATTGACCTCCTTGAACGATGTTCGTGGTCGTATCTCGAGGTGGCACTCGGATGTTAATCAAGGCTGCTTTCAGTTTATCAAGCAAGAGAACAAGGAAAACTCCCTCGTTAAACTACCAGTTCAGTCTTCAATTAAAGCTTACAGCCCAACTGGCATAGTGGTTTTATTTTCTTTATTTTGCTGCCTACGAGGGTTGCGTCTAGCTTTAGCAGCAGTGCTTTGAACTGAAGTTGACCCCCCTTGACGTACCATCCCGAGATGGGACTGTTGACCGGTAACATCTCCACTGGAATGAAAAGAAACGTCTTGAGGACAACCCCAGCCAGAGTAGATACCAATCTTTGCGTCAGACTGACGCCACAACAACGTCAAGGCGTGCGTGGGCATTCGCCAAGACCGGGAGGTGTGTTCCAGGTACAGCCCTTCTCACGGCTGTCTTTCCTCTTTAAACGTGTTCTTGGCCGGATGGCAACACTGAACGTGCCGTTCTTTTCTGCTTAGGCACGCACTTGGCCGACAGGGAGGAAGTTTTGAGTGTTGCCCCGCTCTGCGAACTGCTCGAATTAGTAACGCCGTGTCCTGTTGCCAAGGTAAAGCGGTGTCGTTCCCTCGGGTCCTTTTGACGTTGAAAGACCGCTGCGGCAAACGCGCGGTGGCGAAAACAGCAAATTGTTTTTGTCTTCTGGGTGGCAATGCAAGGTCTTTTCAGGGCTTCTAACCTCCTTGGCCAGTTTGAAGAAAGGGGGAGTTAGAAAACGTGTTTGCGCCCGTTTTTTGTCTCGTCAAGGCCTTCCCCAACGCACACTAATAGAAATTGTGCATCCAAAGCTTCTTTTTTTTTTTTTTTTGCAACAAAAGAGAAGCAGTTTAGCATACATGTAATTTTTCAAATTGGTCTTCGAAATCCAGTCTATCGTTAATTCACCTCAATGACTCAAAGTTTTTTTGTTTTTTTTTTATTTCGTGATATTTTATTTTTGAATATCAAAAGCCGTACACTACCAAAACAGACACTGTTTGTGTGCACCCGCAACAAGTGGTAGTGGCAGATAAATATGTTAATGAAAAAATGAACAGCAAAATGACGTTAGGCCGGACATCACTTGTTCTCTTCGGGGAAAGAACTTCGGAGTTTTGTGTTGTTCAGAGGAGGATGGGAGTGAAAGAGTTGCAGGTGGTTAGAAGAGACCCTCCATATTGCTGTCACTTCGTGAGCTGTCGTGCTTCCTAAATATTCTTTTAATTTTTGCGGATCCTGTTTGGTATCTCGCTTTCTGAAGTATTTCATTCCAAAAAGTATATTCCTTCTGGCGAATTCCCTACTACATTATCGAGTATGCGTTTTAATCAATTAATTAATGATCAATTAATTTGAAGTTATTTAGAAGTTAATTAATTAATTTAAAGTTATTTAGAAGTTAATTGATTAATTTGAAGTTCTTTTTTATAGAAATTCTCAAGTACTGTGACCATAAAAGCAATTGCGCCAACGACGAAAAAGCTAGCGCGTTTCATTTTCAGGGCTCTTGAAAAGAAAAAAAAAAGGATCGCGATAATGTCTGTACTAGAAGCACGCTGCAGAAGGTCACGTATACGGTATATCGAATGATCGGTCTTCAGCTGTTGTTGTTTCTGCTTCACGCCCACTTTTGCTTCGTTCAATGACAGTCGTGGGACGTCTTGACGTCAGAAGCGCGTCACACCGCTCTGAAACGTACACGAATTATCCGCCTATTAAGACCTGCGACCGGACCCCAATGACCCCACCTTTACCGCGTACGTTACCTGGAGTTTCGAAAAGGAAGCTCGGGCGGCGCTTGTGTGCAGACAATTCTATAGGCTGCCTACATGTGTGTGTCTGTCTCTGGGTGAAGACATCCATTGTTTCCCTGAATGTGCCAGCACGTGGCGCTCTGGCGCACTCGGTGCGAGACTTGTGCGGTAAAATGGCGTCTGTGCATTAGCTAAAGCTACGCGCTCGAGCTGAGTGACACCGGATTGCGCGCACTTCAAAAGGCATAAAAAAACGATTGGGCGGAAAAATGGCTGAGATATTACCACTCAAGCAAAAGCGAGCGTGTGTATGAAGGCACTCTAGACAATTCTTTTTTGATGAGTGCAAAGCTCGAAAACGTCTCATTACTTCTGTTGTATTTGTTGTTGTTGTTAATTCTCGTCCTAACACTCAGTTCAATCGTGAACGAGGCTTTCTACTGGGTGTTTCAAGGAGCGGCCGGGCTGTATAAATTGACCGCGAAATTCTGTTTCTTAATCTATCGCCTCACGACTTTGTGCAGTGTTGCCCACAGATGGATTTTTTTTTTTTTTTTGTAAAATTTTCAATGAGCCAGTTTATCTGAGGAAAAAGTAAAAAAAAAAAAAAGGCCTAGCTTCTATGGAAACGCAGCGAAGCCACAGATCTTCAAACAATACAGCACCGTTTCGCTTGGGAGACAAGAGATGGCGCAAGCGGTCGTGACGACAACTGCCACCAACGAACTGCCACCAACGAACGAGCATACGGCGCCGAGATCCGGCGTCTTTAGCAGACGATCTTTTCGACTCAAAAGCGGAGCGCGTTCTGCTGGCGGCGACAGTCGCAGAAACAAAAACAGGCACGGTAACAACAAGGAACTGCAGTTCCTTGTCTGCTAAAGACGCCGGCTCTCGGCGCCGTATTCTCGTTCGTTGGCGGCAGTTGGCGTCGCGAACGCTTGCGCCATCTCTTGTCTCCCGTGCGAAACGGCGCCGTATTGTTTGAAGACCTGTGGCTTCGCTGCATTTCCATAGGAGCTAAGCCTTTTTTTTGTTTTCTTTACTTTTTCCTTGCGAAAATTTGCTCTTTGCAAATTAAAAAAAAAAAAAACACAATAAAACTGCACCATCTGTGGGCAACGCTGCACAAAGAAGTAGCGCGATAGCTTAAGAAACCAAAGTTTGTGGTCTATTTAAAGAGCCTGGCCGCCCCTTGAAACACCCCGTAGAAGCATGACTGTATAAAAAGAAAACATTGCCAAAGCTAGTGCACGAGCGGAGTGACACGTGAAGTCGAACATCAAGCATTCGTGAGCCCCATGCTCGGCAAGCTCTCTTTCGCTCAGTCTTCTTTTCAGCAAGCCGGCCCTGGGGGGCTATGTTGCACGTTTTGGGCTCCCAGGAGGCTAGGGAGAAGGAAGTGACGTCAACAACGCTCATTGGATGTTGATTGGTGGAGTCGCTGATGACGCGTTGCGTGGGGCTGCTAAGATACCTTCATTCACAGCTACGTCACTTCCTTCTCCCTAGTCTCCTGGGAGTCCAAAACGTGCAACATAGCCCCCCTGGTATCGCCATTAGGAAGGCACGATAGGTTCCCCCTCTGTTCTGAAAACACTTGGGGATCAAATTTGTGCCCCGCGCACTGGCCCCTTTGTCGGTAACGGAGGTGTTCGCGTATGGTATCTAGGAGGTGCGGGCCTGGACCATAATTCGATGGAAATACGTTGTTTTCGGTCGCAGCAATGATTGCTACCCGAACGTACCCTTTTTCAAGACCCCATCAAGCAATATTGGTAGTCGCCATTTGTTTGCGATATCCCACACTGCCTGGTGATAGTTAGGGGAAGAATATTGGTCTTAGAAGGGCTGGAAGAATCGTATGTTTGTCTTTCTAGACTTAGGCTAGGTGGCGCAAGCTACCGCCCGTTACAAAGGGTATAAGCCATTAATATCCATTCATTCTCAGGCACGAAGTGTGAGATTAAATCAGAGTCCGTGCCGAACGCTGAGGATGGAGCCCCTGTGTCCAGCACATTGCTTAGAGTACGTGCTAAAACAATGGCTGACTCGAATAAGTGGCGCAGTAGCTACTAGACGTGGCGCGCATTTTTGTAAAGCATCTACTCAAGATTTTTCTAATTCTTCATTTTTGTTACGTTTCCAATTGCAGGTCAGAGGGAGTAGTATGGTAGTAGGGACACCTTTCACGGAAGAAGACATCGTTCCAACTGACCCTAGGCCAGCGTGGACCGCGGTCTGGCAGGACGCCTGGGCCGTTTCCATAGCAACGCCGCTGCCGGTCCTACGCAAGAACTCCTAACCAGAGGAGCAGGCCGGCATTCCTTGCCGAGGATCTTCATTTGTACCGAGGTAGAGCATGCCGCTTATTATCAGTACTGTTTTAGGCTGCTGTGCACACAATAACCTATCTGTGTCTGTCGTTCTCTTTGATTAGAGTTTTCACGCAATGATTAGTGCCAATTGGCTGTTAATCGCACGCCACAGTATATCAGTTTTCGTCATGTCTGATGGCTTGCGTTGTCTCTGAATTTCTCGATCGTACGTTACATTTAGCACCAATGGTAAGATACTTAGAAAAGCTTCGTGGGGCCGTATTATAAATCTCAATTGATCTGTAATGCGTGTGGTATTTAATGTCCGACCTAGATGCATTATGGCAAAACAAAAAAGAAAATAAATGCGATTTTCTATTAAAATTATTGTTATAATAAAATTGGCTTTCTGTACTTAAAAAGTTTTCCGTCAACAGCGTGCTTATAAAATACCCCTTTGTATTCGATTTCATAGGCAAATATCCCCATAGACTTTTGTAGGCCTATTTTTACATTACTGTAAACAATAATAATCCGCTTTTTCGCCCCGCTGGTCTTTATTGTGCAGCTCTTGCGCGAGTACACTTTGGCGCACCTCCGCGCCTCACGTTTTCCTAAAGTTTTGTAATTCAGTGGTTTTTGATGACGCTGAGCACATTTGTAATTAGTAACACATGTGTATTTTTGCGAAGCAAAGAGTTAATTGAGGCCGCTTTGCTATTTATTCCACATGATGTGACGATTGTCACCTATGTTATGTTCGCTGGAAGTATAATTTACGTACATAGACCACATTGGTGTTCCTTTCAATTTTATATATATATATATATATATATATATATATATATATATATGTATAATCTACACAGCATAAAAAAACAACCTGTACATCCTCCTAACATTCTCCCCTTTAATCACGTTTCCGTGTAGTTGGAACCAAAGGGCGAGGATAAGTCCAGCTTCTACCATGACGGGAAGCCAGCAGACACAGCTAGGCCTTGCGGGCAAACTGGTCGGTGCCGGCTCGGCGGCCTGCATCGCTGACGCCATCACGTTTCCCTTGGACGTCGCCAAAGTGCGATTACAGGTACGGCGATCACTTTCCTACAAATATGGCACATTTTCTAAGCCATTACGGGGAATACTAATTCCAGCATTTTGCTGTGGTTTCTTCTGCCTGTCATTTGCCGTGGTTCAGTGGTTAGCGTTCAAAAAAGGCTTCTTTTCTTTTAGTACAGTGTATTAGGGCAGGTTTTTTTATATCCTATCTTTACATGGCTGCGTTCCTATGCGGTTAACTTGTTTTCTTTGCGCGTAAGTGACACCTGTCAGAGTAGTGAGTTTTAGTATTACGTATACGAGGAAACGCAAGCGCTGTCCGTCGGCGTTTGCGTTGCGTGATCCACACTGCGCGTGCGCGGGAGCCCAAAGATCGCCTTGATTTAGCGCATGGCGACAACACGCATGCGAAGCGTGGAGCACGCAACGTTTACGCGAACGTACTGTGCTTCCGTTTGCCCTTATACGCAATACAAAACCTCTCTAATGCCACCAAACACGTGTAGGAAATGGGACGTAATACAAAACATAGGTCATAAGCTTAAGACTGGAATAACTTGGACGGTGGACAAAATAAACACTTATTTGAGTTACACACTTGCCTGCTTATAGCGCTTGTCCTGTATACTTCTTCTCCTTGTCTTTTTGCGCTATTTTATATGTCTAGCTTATTTGTCCCCCGAAAGCAAATGTTGATTAAGTTTATCTTATTCCTCTCGTGTCCTAGCTGTGGAAGGACAAGTTCACCCTTAGAGTAGAAGTGCTAATATGGGGTTTTTAACGTGATTCATACCTGGGTGCTCAAATGAAGTTAAGCCCTCAAAGCAAGCATTTGCTCCGTGGACCGCGAAATTTTAAGCCAAGAGGGTCGATTAACGAAATTCTTTGCACATCATTTCTCCTTTTCTACAGATAAATTTAGCCTTCGTGAACTCGCGCGGCAATAACGCGTCTTGCATTCAGCAATGATAGCGTATACCTATGTGATTGTCGTCGTTACACGTCTGCTTTTAGCCATTTCAGTCCTTTGTTTTCCTTCTTTCCTTGTGTGCTTCGAAAACTGCTTGTACATTGAGGAAGCTGAAACGGAAAAATAAGTTTGGTGGTAATAAATTCTAAGAGGAAGGAAAACGTTCGAGGTGATCTTGCTTGACCCGCTGCTGCGTCTGTCAAACTTCATTCTGTTTTCCTATTAAAACATTACGCCAAAATCGCTGCTGTTGCTAGGCTGATTTTCGACGAAATGCGTCAGCATTTAGCGCATGGGTGCCAACTCAGCGAAGGATGAGAGTTCCAACCTCGCAACGGGTACCGGTGTGTTCAGAGAGCCAGTCTATTCTCCAGCGGATCGGTGGTTCTTTCCTCGATTCCCGCCTACGATCTGTATGCTGCTGTCTTCGGATAGCCAGTCCTTCCTCCTGGCTGTCGGCGGTTTCACGCAAACGGCGTCGTCGTTGCGCCTTGGTTTTACGTCGTCGCGTATGCGTTGTGCCACCGCCACGGCCGCTCGATCCCCTAGCTCCTCCCTCGCTCCCGCGGCGTGTCGTTAGAAGCGTGCCAGAGCGTAACAAGCTAACGAAAAGAGCGGAAGAGCACGGCTGGAACCGTGCCACGGCCTCACGAAAACCATCCTGTCCAAACCACGACCGTCCAAGCGAAATACGGTTGCATGCAAACAGGGAAATAAATGGTAACGCGATTAAAATGCACACAATTACCCAGCTCGTCCCCTAAAATGTTGTCCAATTGTAACGGGCTATACCCATATTAATGGGGTACACATTAACGAGACATCAATATGTAGCAATGTCTGAGCATTTTGTGCAGCGTGTTTTCTCAGTCCCTTGTTGGCATGAGGTAGAACTTAGTGAACAGACTATGACCTTCTGCTAAATTACCCGATCACCAAGGGGCGCGCTGCGAGTCTGGTTACAGCGCTGAACGGGCCCATGTTTGCAGCAGTGACCACTCTAAAGCAAAAGTCTAAAACAAGCGGCACTTTGCACGCGCGCTTCTCGACGCCCTGTTTTGGTGATTTACTTCGAGTATATTTCACAGAATGCGAGCGTGTGCAGTTTCCAGCAGTCTTCCTCATGGTGGGGTAATTCATCGACGCGTTTATTGCTTCTTACCTTCAAACAAGCTGTAACGGCCATAATCGGAATAAATCATTCCGGAAAATCCCAAAAGACGTTTTGTCGCCCCGCGGCGCGGGAAATTGTGGGGCCGTTGCGATGTAGGTTCGAACAGGCTCGTATAGACGCTTTGCAGCAGCTGTGCATGGACGCCGCCGTAACTGACGTTCAGTTTTTGTTTCCTCTTATTTCGTTTATTTCACTTCATCATTACCATAGCAGGCCAGTTTATTGCCATATCGGACTCAACTGTGTCCTTTTCTAAAGCATCGGCCTTTGTAGAGGACCGTCAACTACCGTTTTAGTTGCTCGGCATCTCGGTAAGACAAGAGAAGGTCATCAATGGCGGCTGTAATTTGGCGCGTGTGTAAAGCGTCTATACGCTCCATACGTCTTGGCAAGTGGCTCGTGTCTTTCTCTCTCACCAGTGCGAAGTCAGAACACAAAGAAAACAGAGCGAATACATCACAAAGGCGATGTGTACCCTGACTTGTTATCGCTCGACTTCCTTTGCGTTCCAAAATCGCAAAATGCTAAGCGAACACGAGCCGCTCCTTCTATTTATAACTGTACTCAGTCACGCGCGGTACAATCAGATGGCCGCAGCGCGCCGAAAAGATAATGCGAGGCGCTGTGTATTTCCTAAAGGGTGAATCACGTACAAGATAAAGTATCCGGTGCGATAAAAGATATTATTATCCGCAAAACATCTCGTCGCAAATAGCAGGCTTTATATGACATGGCTAATCCCCAAACGCGCTGTTTGTCAAATGTATGTATGTATGCATGCATGAATGCATGTATTTATTTATTTATTTAGCGATACTGTGTATTTTGTCAGAAAACCATAAGAGTGGTACTATATGGGACGAGGGTCTGATATATAAAGTAGTAGTAATATTATTAATGGTGATTCTATTCAAGGAAATTTATACACAGGTCCACAAAACTTAAGAGTGCTTGTTTGTGGGGCTAGGCAAGCCCGTGAAACACCATTACATATTCAAACATCACTCTTCTAACACTAAGCAATTGTTTTCTACTGCAGTTATTAAAACAAAACTTATCCAACAAAAGCACTTGACTGTCGAATACAGGGTGAAAATGCGTAGTTCAAAACAAAGCAATTAAAATCTAAAAGAGAAGTCAGAAGATTCAGACAACATCATCATATTTTTTTTTTTTTTTTAGAGCAATTTTTGCGAGTTTTGAGGAGCTTTTTTCGAAGGTCTCCGCTTTCCGTTTTTCTCAGCTCCAGGGTGAAGGAGCCCAGAGTGGCGCCGTGAAACAATACCGCGGAGTTCTGGGCACCGTGGTCACGATCGCCAAGCAAGAGGGGCCCTCCAGGCTCTACGGTGGCTTGGGGCCCGGTCTGCAGCGACAGGCCTGCTTCGCCACGGTGCGCATCGGATTCTACGACAGCGTCAAGGATGCCTACAGCAAGGCCATCCTCGGTAAGCCTCTCTTCTGGGACATGTCGTCTGCCATGAATCCCAGGCTGTGCAGTGTGGCTATAATAACCGAGAAAGTGATAACGGCAGCGACGCTGATCGGCAGGGTGTGCTTTTTTTAACTCCCGGTGTTGAGCACGCGCTTTGTGCCTCCCAGCCGTTTTGAATTTATCAGCGACTATCGGCGAACGTGCGCTACGAAAAGTGTCGCTGTGATTGGCCTTCCACGACTGGCCGAACGCTCACTAGGACGTCAAGGATAAAATCATTTCTGCTCTCGTCTACGAAAATAAGAGCAACGTCAAACTCTGGACCCTGACGGTGTTGATTTCGGGAACGGGTGACTTGGCTTCCATCGCGCTTCTTACGCACCATCGAACTTGTCGCTCGGTGCTAATAACCTCGTCTCTGGCGTCAGGGACACGAGCCATAAGAGGGCGCCACCGAAACATGTCGTCGCCAATAGACCATTCCATTTAGTGCTCTCTGGGCGGCACCATTTGTTCAACCGCAGCACCCTCTCCACACATCCGGGAAGTTCAGCGGGTTCGGCGGGGTAAAACGAGAGAGAGGGCACGTGCCCGACTCCGCTAGCAGACGACAAACCGGGAGGTTGCCGTTCTCCATCTTTGGGCTGTATCGGCGGGCTCTACCGAACATCGAACTCTCGCTCGTGGCTGCCGTTGTGAAGTGGTTCGCGTTCTTAGAATAGTTGCGGCTACTCCAAAATCAGCCTATAGCTCTCTGTTGTTCTATTTTGCTAAATGATCAACTAGCATATCTTTTTTTCCGTTACTTAAATAGCAGTTGAGTCAGCCGGCAGTACTACCCTCAACTAGTGCTTGTATTGCGGCAGGAGAGCACGTTTTATTAATTATTTCAGACTTCCACTCATGGTCGCTAAAGGCCTACACCAGTACGAATTTTTGTATAGTAAAAAAGGTGCAGCAACCGGATTTTCCTTTCGCCAAAGAGACCGGCCAATCTGACACAGTTTTTCCTATTTTTGTTTTTTATTTGCACGCAGGTAAAAGCGCACTTGGACCCTGTGAGTCTTTTTATCTAGCATAGTATTACACGATAACTTGCATACCAAAATCTGCGCATCTGCGCTTGAAAGCTCCAAAATGACGCGATTTTAGACAGAGTTTGCACGCCAGCCGGACGCTAGCTACAGCCCACTCGGCGGAGCGGACGAGATGCGGGGTGAGAGGGGGAGTGCATTTTTTTCTCTTTTACCCTTTCTGCTATGACCCTAAGTGCGCCGCCATCTTGAATTGACGTCACTTCCAGTATGGGCGAAAACATTGTTTTGCCTTTGCCACGCCAATAGAAGTCATTTAGGATATAAACGTAACCGTCACACTTTCTCGTTTTGCCTCCCCTTTATTTTTTTAACTATTTGCAGGTTGACACGTTGGATTATTTTTTCGTCGCCCATACCGGATACGCTTATTAGGTGGCCGGGAACGAGAGTACACAGAAAAGGTCTATTGGGGAGGAGGACAGACCGTGACGCCCCAAGCGGTTAACCTAACAACTACACGGATGGGGACAACAAATGCAATGACGCAGCGTTCGGCCGACATAACCGAACGCGGCGTCAGCGTTCGGCTGGAGTTCGTGTTGTCCGGCGAGGGGGAGGAGGTGCTGTTTTGTTTCCACTAGGGCCTACATGAACAATGCAGCATGCACGATTCCAGCTCAGCACAAAAGCCGAAGTGGGTCAAGTTCGCATTCTCTGAGGATAGATCCGGCACTTAACGTCGCTTCGTCGATTGTTAGTATTTTTTACATTAAACTGCGCCCCGCGCTCTATTGTAGAAGATGACATGGCCATGCCCATAAGGCCTGTCGGCATGTGCACAGGCCTTGTGTTGAGTAAACACTAAGCGTGGGGAAAACAAACGGGTCAGAGCGCCCCCTATAGTTCGATCTCCTGCCTGAGAGATCGCTGTCCGGGCCCAGAAGCTGAAAATTTTGAGCCACTTATCGCATTACCGGAGATCGTGCTTCTCGTGAAATTCCGACTACAGACGGGCGCTCAACAATCTGCGCATTGGCGACGTGCGCGATCGAAAGCGTCGCTGTGGTCGGCTTGCCACGATTGGCCGAATTCTTACTGTGACATCAGCAAAGGATTTCTTATCGACGGGAATAAGAGTAATGTGAGAACTTCAATTTTGACAGGGCTGGCAGTTTTGGTTTCAGAGCGCAATGATCTCAAGCTTCCACCATGCTATTTACAAACACCATCGAGCTTGTTCTTTGCAAGGTAATGACGTCACGAGAGGGAACCATAGGAGGGCGCCACCAGAACATCTCGCCGCTAATAGGTTCGATTACCCCGTTTCTTTGTCAACAGTCATACGGCTCGCACAGCGAAGGTTGCGCTAGATTTGTAGTTCTTGAGTTAGTGTAACTAACTTCACCCATCCGAGATTCAAATGGTCACGGTAATTGAGTTGTGAGAATCCTCCAAATATGCGCATCTGCACCTTTGAAGGTATTACAGTTAAACCTCCACGAAACTCGATTTTACGAATTTCCCGATTTAACGAACAAATTCGGATTCCCCACGCAACCAATGCGCGAGGTCTCACTTCCTCGATTTTACGAAGTTCCCGATTTAACGAAATAATTAGCGGGTCCCGGTGACTTCGTCAAATCGAGGTTCAACTGTAATAATATTCCAACACCATCAAGCAAAAAAGCTTAATAGTGATTGTTACTTTTAACGTTTACTTTATATAGAAGGACCGGTTTTCATTTTCCTCCCGCTGGACACAAGCTGGCTCCCCAGTATGTATAGGTATACTAACCTTCTAAAGTAGAGCCTTTGTCTTCCTTCTTTTTTTTTTGGTTATGTACTTCTGCAGAAACTGTAAATAATATTAATCATCAAAATTTTGGCCATGTCACTCGAGTGACCTTTGTGATTTTTTTAGCGCATATAATCTTTATCACCGTGTGGTTTCGGAGTTTTTAGAGCGCAGATCTTAGGCGCCCGTTTCCGGCTTGAGCCGCGTCGCCGTCGCCATCGGCGTAGGCGCGTTGCATTAGCGATTTTTTTCATGATGAAGTCACAAAGGTCACTCGTAGATGTCACGGCCTTTCGTTAATGAAAGTCACGTGAAGGTCATGACCTTCACGAGTGACGTCACGAGGGAGGAGGGGGAGAGGGAGAAGGAGGAGAGGTGCGGAGGAGGAGGAGGAGCATACCCTCCTTTTCGTACCCTCCCCTCCTCCTCCTCAAGAGCTGCGCTCTAATTCGGCATTACTGAAAATTGTAAACGTTTTTCTTTCTTTTATTATTTTATACAGCTGTCGTTACCTGTCTTCTTTTGCGAACGTCCAGGCCGCACCGAGGGCGCCAACGCAGCGGCCATGATGGGCGTCCGTATCCTGGCCGCCGTCACGACGGGAGGCCTTGCCGTCGTGTTTGCTCAGCCCACGGACGTCGTCAAGGTCCGGATGCAGGCGCAGTCCGGAACTGCCCCGAGGCGCTACAAGAACTCCTTCCAGGCCTACAAGACCATAGGCCGCGTAGAAGGGTTCCGAGGACTCTACAAGGGTGAGCTGTCCTGTCGAAAGAAAGTTCATGGGCCCCCTCCGAAATTTGAAGGGTCACAGTAAACCTTTCATAAAGCGAAAACGCACCACTACACTTGGGAAGAAGCGTCGTGGAAGTCTCGAAGTGATAACTGATGTTTTGTCAAGAAGATTATGCAGAACTTAAAGAAGGTTGAGTTTCTTTGCGGAACGTCTCCTGTCGCTCCACAGCTTCCGTGTAGCTCCTTTTGAAGTTCTTGCGATTGGCTTTGACCACCGTTGCATCTTGTTTTGACGCACTACAGCGCAAGGTGCCATGATGGAGCAAGCTGGACGCAAGGGAGACGTTGATTCAACCAGTGATTGAGTGCGAACTTTGTGGTGAATCGTCACTGATTGAGGCTAACTTGTAATCCTGGCGCAATATTTTTTTGTTTTTGTTCTTTTGCAGCTGTTATTTTATTATTATGTATCAGGTGCTAAATCTTTGAGCGAACGACAAACGAACACCTTGTTGGTGTTCAATTGTTTGTTTAGTCGTCTTGTTTGTTTCCAAGCAAATATAAACACGAATGTTCATTTTCTTTTCTGCTTAGCTGAGGGAGATCTACAGCGAACTTTTTAGACTGCCTGAAAGCAGCCTGTAGGCTCACTGTGGGTTTCCAAATGCACTATTTTTCTAGTGTTCTTGTTCATAAATTATTTTCCTCTGTTATTCTTCTGCAGGTACGCTGCCGAACATCGCTAGAAACAGCATCGTGAACGCGGCTGAGCTGGTTTGCTACGACAGCGTCAAGGAGGCCATTCTCAGTAGGAACCTCCTGCAGGACAACATCATCTGCCACTTTTTTTCCGCCTTTGGCGCCGGCTTTTGCGCCACAGTCGTTGCCTCGCCCGTGGACGTGGTCAAGACGAGATTCATGAACTCCGGAGCTGGAAAGTACACCGGGGCCACGGACTGCGCCATCAAAATGTTCCACGAAGGAGGATTCAAGGCTTTCTACAAAGGGTGAGGCTGGTCTTCGATTCAAGCAGCCCTTGTTTATGCTGGCTAGGATTCCAGAATCCCGCGCATTCTGGGATCCTAGCCAAAGACATCCCAGCTGATGCAGTTATTTCTCAACAGTGAAATCTGTGGCCCCTACTAATAATGGTTCCGCTTGTCAATTTAGGTGGTAGTCGTCAACTACTAATGCGAAGTAAATTTCAAGTGTTGGACCAAGGACCCTTTATAATATTATGTATTTAATAATGTTTATACACGTTTCCATTTATTCGCGGTCACTGCTTGATCACATACTCTGATGGATGAGCGTGTGTTGGACACGAATATGACGTCAGCGTTCGGCGAAAACTCGGATCCAATCAGGCGTCTCGTGTCCAAGCAGTGGCGACTGCCAATGTTGCGTGATAGACTTTTGAGAAGAAAAAAAAAACAACATACCGCTCTCTTTAAAAAAAAAAAAAAAAAAAAAAAAAAGCATGGCAGTTGTTGGCGTTACATTCGCTGGCACTAAGAGAGACAAAGCAAACTAAGACGCAGTTTCATGTTCCGCAGCAGCCTAGTGCAGTCTGGGAACAGCGGCATACGCGTTAGGTTACAGCTGCAAAAAGTGGGCGCTCGCGTCTGTATGCGGAAAAAAGTGCAGCCCCGATTTCGCAATAGGTGAATAACTTCTTTACTTTGTTTCAAGGTTCACGCCGTCGTTCGTGCGCCTCGGGTCCTGGAACATCTGCATGTTCGTCACCTACGAGCAACTGAAACGACTGTTCCACTACCTGGGCAACCAGGACATCATTGCCGGCACCGAGCCGCACACGCTACATTTGTCTAGGTATTCTGTCCTTGCTGAACCAAGCACCGCAATACTGCTGTAATTCTTTCGGTCTTTCAAAAGATTCTTTGTTGTTTTGTTTTAACACGTGGACCTATTTTGGAACACTCAGTATTCAATGTTAGACCTTGGGAAACGACTCTGTTTGCCGCGCCATGTTCACGACAATCACTGCACTGTCCGCTACATCTTTGTGCATTCGATCGCGTTTGTTTTGTATTCATTTACTGCGGTCACTCACAGCCCAGAAAACACAGAAGTGCGGCGAGCCGTGAGCGTCTTATTACACCCTCCGCACAGAGTGAAACCGTGGCATCAGCCGGTTAGAAGGACGAAGAACGAATGACGGAGAAAAATGCATCAACGTAATAAATTACGCCTTGCGTTTCTTATGCTGTCGATAACTCTAGTGTGCACAGGGTCACACCCACAACTTGCAAGCGTCGATGGTCTCTAGCCTTTTCAGCGACTTACCCGAGACTTTGCATCTTGTTACGCGTGCCTCACGGGGTGGTGTACACGTCCAAGTGATGAACGCAGCCTGTGTTTTATGTCACTGCGAGCCTTTCCTCTTGTTTTATGTATTGTCACATCGTACGATCTCATGGGCATTTATCGAACGCGTCTCATCCAGAGCATCTATTTTGTTCTAAGGTTACACACGGGTCCGATGATGTGTATACGATTTCTCAAACGCTAGGAATACCGGATGAAAATGATCGTGATGGATTGTTATGCACTGGTGATCATCTCTTAGTAATGCATTGTCCTCCTACTAAACGTATCACATTGTTCGAGGGACGTGGACCTGCCTATATATGGATACCGCGATATATACTAAGCGTCTTTCAACCCGTACGAAGGCACTGCATAATAAGCCTCGTATAATGTCATGTCGACTGGGCGATCATCAGGGTATCTGTTGTCTCGAAATAACCTTGGACCAACACGACCAATAAAGCCCTTGTGCGAATAACGAGCCTACTGTTGTTGTCTTGTCAGTCACGGAAGCACATATGTGGTTATACTCTAAATAACCAAATTCATATCGTCTGGTTTGAGGGAATGACGTCTAAAGCGCCACATATTGCTCGGAAAAGTTACTGTATATGAGCTTCGCGACATTGCAGAAAACCGAAGGCGTGTGCAGACTTGGGGCGTTTTTTGGTGGTGGAAAACCTCTTTATTGGTCCTGCGAAAACCCCTACCCCTCCGTCACCCCTTCACCAACACACCTACGCACAGTCTGCCGGTGAAGCAAGCGCCGGGTTCGCTGGACGAAACCCCTTTGTCCCTCCAAGTCCACACACATCACTCCATCCTTGAAGTCCTCCGGCCAGTCCTGGGTCCCCGATGCCTCATGCCCCCGTTGTTCACAGCCCCACACAATATGCTGCAGCGTTGCCCGACTGTCCTTACATACCCTGCACAAGTCACTCTCAAAATTCCCTGGGTCCACATGTCTCCCCAACACCGGGGTAAGTTCCGTCTTGGTCGAGTCATATGAGCGGAGTTCGTTGACGTGTTCTTTGTTATCGGGGCACCGGGTAATAGCAAGATCCCTCATGTATACTGACAGTTCCTCCCACAGGCACTGCAAAAGCTACGCTTTAAGGTAACCACACTTCAGCCATCGGATGAATGCACGGATGGATAATAACGGCTATATGTCTCGATTACGGGCGGTAATCATTGCCCATATCTTGGTGCTTGAAGTCATTGTTCCGAGTTATTTAATGCTTTTTATGAAGTCGCAAGAAACGGTTTTGCAAATATTCACAAATCTTAAAACAGTCCGCGACAGGACAAGACGATATCGCCTGAACTTCTGGAGCTCGGGGAAAGTCGCATTTTTGAGCCGTAACGATCTCCACGAGAGCTCGCTCTGCACCATGGTGTACCGCGTTCTATGCACCCGGCACTAAAATAGCGGCGCACCTGGAAGAAAATCGGTAAATAGAGTGCCTATACTCTCTCTAAATGTAGCTTATTTATGGACGCTTTGCAGCAGCTATGTATGGGCACCGCCATAACGGACCTTTCATTTTTGTTTCCTCTTATTCAGTTTACTTCACTTCATCGTATACCACAGCAGGACAGGCTATATTGCCATTTTAGTTCCCACCGTAATAGGACATACTTTTAGGTTGAAGGTTTCACCCTTCTGGGAGTGACAGCACATGCTTCAATGGTGTGCCTTCACCTCTTCTAGGGGCAATTACAGTCAACCAGCTTACACCCTTTCTGGGGCTAACTCAACTTCGTGGATTCCACACAACGTACAAGAAACGAAAACAAAGTAGAAGGGTGTACACAGGACGTTACCACAACATTCGGCTGGGAAGCTGCCATAGGAGCCTGGATTATAAAAGTGGCACCGATCAGTACTCGAGAATCAAACTAAACGCGATCGTAACGCCGCCATTTCTCCCGCAGCGGCCACTCCAAGAACTCCACGGCTGCATCTATTCGTTCACGTCGAGTCGCGGAAGGGCCGGTGCACGGCGCCATATCGCAGTACCCAGAGTATCGCTTTCGATAGCGTCCACTGTTACGGTTCAATTTTGGCTTTGATCGGCCATTCTGGCGCCCAAACGCATACAGTGGAAAGGTTTCATGGCTATCAACCCCTCCTCTCAACCGGACGCGCTACGATTAATCGCTGAAGTCAGGACGCACCCAGGTTGGTACGCGCTACCTGAAGTCGCAGTGAGACATGGCTGCATAAAAATAATATTAATTGTGCCACAAAACCCTGTAAACTAAAATTGTGTGCAAACATAACGCTCCTGTCATTTTGTACTAATCTCAAATAAAATTTCATACAAAAAGAGCATTTTTTGTTTGCTTTTACGCAAAAACATGCTTTCTAAAGGTTCATAATGAACACAGTAAAGAAACAAGAGTGAGCAGCCATATTGGGATCTCGAGCCTGGGAGTTTCGGTACTCTGGGAACATTCAGTGACTCAGTAGACATATAAAGCAACTTTCATGCTTCAACTCGTCGCTAAAGGATGGCGCTGTTATCGTATTTATTTATTTTATTTATTTATTTGAAATACTATTGGTCCTACGCAGGACCAAGATAGAAGTGGATTTTGCACAACACAAAAAATACACGCGCTCAAAATGCACAGATTAATAACACGTATTCAACACAAGGATGAAATGACAACACTAGGTTAGCTTGTCTAGACACTCCTAGATATGAACTACCGTGATTTGCATGAGATGCAAGAAGGACCAGCGTTCCACCGCCGACGAAATCCGAATGAGAACGACTAGTGGCGTGTGGGCTAACTTTTCCCCCTAAACACGTATTTCAAATAGGGGGCGCTAGTATTTGTCTCCCTCGAAGAGGTCTGGTGATCAAGGCACTTCTTTTCTCACCAGACTGAGCGTATAAGAGTTGGTTATTCCACCCTTTTGGCAACCTTTTTTTTATTATTATTTAAGCCTGTAGAAGAGCCGTGTTATTTCATCACCCCACCCATAAAACAAAACATCTGTCGCAATGCGTAAATTTTCAATGTCAGTGACAATGTCTGAAACAAAACACACGCCACGCGTCTTTGAGCGCGCGGAGATATACACAATATAACGAGGAGCCCGATGCTGTCAGCATTCCTCACAAGGCCTAAACTGATTTACAATGCGCGGGCTCAATTACGTGTCGCAACCTTGACGCCGGGAGTGCTTGCTCAGTCTGCCGACCGGAACGACCCCGGAGACGAAGGCACCGGGCGTGGCGAATGCGACAAGCGGAATGACTATGCCGAAGTCACAAACAGAAACACGGAAGTGTCTGGAATTGTTTGTGGCTCGTGAACGATTGCGTCGAAGCATTGGGCATATAAATTGCAGCAGTACGAGCAAATATATCCATCAACCTTCACTTATTTCCTCTTTTTTTTTTTCTCCCACGCACAATGGCGTTGTTCATCAGGAAGTGTTGATAGGCTACGCTAGAGCCCCTCCAGGTTTGAAGGTGTTCTTTACGGTGCTCAATCCTATCTCTTCCTTACCTTGCTTGTCAAAATTATCAAGAATGACAGTCGGTTACGGCAGGGAAGCTCATCAACCCGTGCTCAGCAGAAATAATTTTTTTCCTCCTATAGGGCATTGCATATACAACGAATTTTACCACCTAAGTGGGTGCTCACAGTGAACATATTTTACGATAAACATCCAGTTGCCAGAAAAGCAATAAAGCAAAGGCCGACGTACAACCTCCGTTTTCTGCAGAAAATTCGATAATCCTCTTAGCGCTCCCGTCTCCTAAAGGGGTATTCACACAAGGGAGAAATCCCAGGGATTTCTCGCCGGCACGCGCGCATCACGAGATGAAAACCAGAGGCTTTTGCACATCGCAAAGCTTGACGTTTTCGTCGTAGGATCCGCGTGCCGGGGAGAAATCCTTGGGATTTCTCCCTCGTATGAATACCCCTTAAGCTGCGAGGGAAGCCAAGTTGAGGTCAGGCAAAACGTGGAGAAGGTGTAAGAAAGGAGAAGGCGGGCAAAACTGAAAAGCGTGAAGTGTACGTCGGACTCGTCCAGAAAGCACACAGCACATGGCGTGCCGCGACATAGCATCGGCTAATGCCGTAAAAGTTGCCGTGCGCGCTGTTGTGAACTGCCTTCTGTTATGTCTGGTGTTGAAATCGGCCTTATGGCTTTAAAGTGAAACAAGCCTCAAGAAGGAACCGTGCCGGTGGTGAATCGTGTCTACGGCTCAGCCACGGTCTACGGCCCGTGGCTGCATTCCGACGCGTCGGCTTTCTTCTGCCTGCGGGACCGTAACCTTGGTCGGCTCCGTCTGCCTGAAGAACCTTAATCTTGGTCGGCTAACTGGACGACGAAAGTGCCTGTGGCTGCATTCCGAGGCCCCTGCTTTCCTCGAAAATTAAACAATACTAAAACCTGACCTCGACTGCCGTGTGTTGTGTACGCGTCTATTGTGAGTCACTCTCAGTATACGGGGGCGCCCGCACCAGAGCAGCGAGATACTGCCGTCTGGATGACTTCCATACACCGGCGCCAGGATTCCGACTCCGAAGGAAACTTCCATGACGTCACATCACGCGAGGGAATGCCCAGCCGTCTGACGAATGACAATGCGGTCCCCTAATCCCAGTATTCGTTCTATCAATGCCCGTCTACCGCACTCTCAATGTATACTCTCTGATATTCACGCTACCATGTAAATAAACGGCTTTAAGGAGAGACGCCTTGGATCTCGACCGTTCTTCCGTTTTGACGGGGCCGGTGCAGGGTTCAAGCGGAACACCAGCCCCTAGTCTACCCCCGAGTTATTACAGCCGCAGCGCTTCCGTTTTCACTCTGGACATCCACCACGCAAACAGCACCGCCTCCTCTTCGCCTCCTCGTTGTCGTCTTTTCATCTCTTGTTTTCGGGAGTTTGAGGACTGATAACATGGCCTTGACGACAGCCGGCAGAGTGAATGAGTTGTTGTCCGCACCCTTGTGATGGAGCACGCTCTATAAGCCTCTGTGCAAATACGCAAGGAAAGGTCCCCCAGGAAAATAATAATAAAAAAAAAAACGTGCGAAAGCTGATCAGAGTTCAGCGCAATGTTATAAAAAAAATTGTATCAGCTGTGACGAGACATGCCATATACTGTGTTCTGTTTGGACACCTTTCTAAGGGGGATCGGTGGCCGAGTGGGCTAGCCCGTCCCTTTTCGGAGCGTGGAGGCCTCCTGCCCGTTCCGATCTGGATGAGTTTCGTACTGGCACGCGTTTGTGTTATCACTACCGCGTGGAGCAGGTTTAAGACCCAAGCTTAGCAGTTGTACTGCACTGGCTAAATATTTCATCTGCAGCTAAGAGACAAGCCACCCGTTGAGGCGCGCGAAATTCAAGGCTGTCTAAACGTACAAGCAACACAATATCAGTCTTCTGCTAAAAGAACCTGCCACGCCGACGACCTTCTGGCTGCCAAACAACTCCAGCGCAGTCTCAAGAAACAGATTCGCGTGGCTCACCGGTTGTTTGTTGAGGACATTGCCGCAAGAGCGATTAGAGAACCAAAACTGTTCTGGGCCTACATAAACTCTCAACGCAAGCAGTCGCAGTGCCCACGTTTTCTCATTGATGACACCATGGTTTCCTCACCGTCCTGCATCTCGGAAGCCTTCAACTGCCATTTTTCGTCGGTCTGGTCGACATACACAGTGTCGCCTGAGCCTATCCTGAGCCCCACTACCGCCATTCCCTCGGCTCCCAGCCTCTCCACTGTAACCATGAGTACTGAGGACGTCCTTGAGGCTGTCTCCCTCATACATCCCTCCCAAGGCCCTGGCCCCGATGGCATCCACCCACTGATTCTCAAGTGCACAATACAGAGTATGGCTCCTCTTCTGTGCCGCATGTTTCAGCGCATTATTGACACGGGCACGGCCCCCGATGCCTGGAAGCTTGCCCACGTCACACCCGTTTACAAAGGCCATGGCGCCCAAGCGAGTCTACTGTCTTCCTACCGTCCTATTGCGTCTACATCCATTGTCTGTCGCACTTTTGAGCGTATCCTTAATAAGAAGATCCGTTCCCATCTCGACGACAACAACCTTTTGTCACCTGCTCAACACGGCTTTCGCCAAAACCGCAGCTGTGAAACTGCACTGGGTGTCTTAGTACACACACTGAGTGCCCACCTGGATAACCGCACACCTTGTGAGCTTGTACAGCTCGACCTTTCTCGAGCCTTCGATCGTCTTCCACACCCCTCTGTCCTGGCCAGCGTTAGCGCCAAGGGTATACCAGGCACTGTGCTCGCCTGGTTAGCATCTTTCCTGGATAACAGAATGCAGCGTGTTGTCTACCGTGGCGCCAAATCTGCTTCCAGTGTTGTCCGTGCTGGTGTACCCCAGGGGAGTGTGCTTGGGCCCACACTCTTCACCATGTTCATAGACAGCATCACTGATTCTTTACACTGCACCCCCATACTCTACGCAGATGACATCTCACTCTTGCAGCCAATCCACAATCCTTCCGACTATGCATCCTTCCAGTCTGATCTCGACCAGTGCTACCAGTGGACGCAGCAGCACCAGCTGCCCATCAACACTCAAAAATCAACGACTATGACTGTAACTGGGTTGTGTCGCCCTCGACAACCACCCCCACGGCTCACTGTTGGCCAAGTGGAGATCCGCAGGGTCTCCTCAAGTGTCATCTTGGGTGTAGAGTTTGATGAGCGCCTGTCATTCTCTCCTCACGTCCAACGCACTCTCGCCAAGTCTCGCCGTATGCTGGGCTTCATTACCCGCACCACGCTCAACATGCCTCCAAACGCATTCCGTAGCCTCTACACAGCCCTCGTTCTCCCCATACTCGAGTACTGTTCAATATTCTGGTTCCCCCATTCGGTACGCCTACGGTCGTGCCTCGCCAGTGTCCAGCGACGTGCAGCATACACATTTTATAGCCGCAGCACTCCTAGAGCCCGCCGCCTGCCCTATCGTCAGATTAGGACTGCTGTTCTTCTTCACCATGCGTCCTGGCAACCGCTTGCCTCCCGGATGCATGGCGCTTCCGTGCGCCTCCTTTGCAGACTTCTCAGCCCTGGCCACCAGCTGCTTATTGATGCGCCCCGCCTCTGTCACCGCACTGGCCGCCTGCAGCCGCTGCATACGCGGACTGAGCGTCACAAGTCTTCATGGCTACCACGTGCTGCTGCTTTGTGGCAACAGTTACCGCCGGACCTCACACGACTTTTCCCCCTTAAGACGACAATATCTTGTCCCTGGTGAAGGCTGGCCAGCGCCTGCACTAGCCTTCAACTTGAACTCTATAACCTTGCGCATGTGTGCGCAGTTCCTGGGTCCCCAGGTTGGGTTGCAAGCCTCCCCGGCATGGGCAGCTATGCCTTTTTGCACCCCCAGCATGCCTGGGATACCCTATCCTATCAATGCGAATAAAGTATTATTATTAGTATTATTATTATTATTATTAGCTGTTTGGGAAACTGTATGGTACTACGTAGTATAATAAACGAGGAAAGATACCGTAATTTCTTCCATTTTATTTCCTGTACTACAAGCAAGCAAGCAAAAACTTCATTTTGTATAGGGGCCTATATACGTCCTGGTCCGGAATACATATATCTTGCCCCCATATCCAAAAATTCTCACTATACTTTCAACACAGTACTGTTTTCAGAACCCCGCGATCTGACATCTTTCGAGGCATTAACCCAACTGTACTGCAGACGAAACGACAACCGTCAGATTGTAGGTAAGCGTTTCTTCCTAGTTTAGTTTCTGGTCGATACCCCATTCGTCCTACTATGTACATATGAGGACGTATTTAACGGTTAGAATGATAACGGCCGAGATGTGTGCTCTCATCGCCTCCGGTTCCGCATCCTGCGGTTGGCGGGGCAGTATTCGGCGTACTCTTCCCAGCTGCAGCCGACTTCGGTGTCGCAGCACTCGTCAATAATGCTCCTGGTGCGGATGTTGTGCTGCGTCGCTCTCCGCTTCGACAACTTTCCGGTCAGGACGCCCAGCGCCGCCTCCGGCTTCAGGAACAGGTCCGTCATCTCTGGGAGCGAGAAGAGCGAGAAACGTACGTTAGGATACGACGTCCAGCAGACCGTTTGTTTCGTTTACGCATGTGCCATCTGCAAAACATCACGGCCTCCATAGAGCCCGAAAGGCATTCTGGGAAACGGCTGTATAGAACCGGCTGTGGTGCATTCGAAGCGAGAACCACGGTACGGGGGCGCCACTGAATAACACGTGAATGTCACGTCATACCCGGAATGTGGAGATTCGAGGTTTGTTTACATCGTGCGGGTCATTGGGGAGGAGATTTGACCACTGCGCCCCAAACGGGCAGCTTTTGAATTCTACCCAAGCGGACAACAACAGTGACGCAGGGCTAGGCTGCAACAGCCGAACATTGCGTCACCGCTCCCGGCTGGGGCTCGTGTTCTGCCGCCGTTGTAGCCACCTCGGCCCAGTGGTGTAGCCAGGAATTTTTCTCGGAAGAGGGGGCAGGAAGGGGGGGGGGGGGGGGGGGGGGGGTCAAAATACATGTGTATAGACCAACTCATGTTTACAAAACCGGAGCGCCCCTAGCGGACGCCGCCGGCACCGCGCATGCGCGATGGAGTATGGGCAAAAAGCTCGCCGTCGTTTATAAACAAACCATTGGAATGCGATATTGCCGTCATCGATGTGAGTCCTCGTGCTCTTTTTCGCGTTGGAATTCTTGATTCTTCATCTTCCTTGCAATGTCTGACTATTTTAGCGGCCTCAGCGAAATTTACGAGGCTCGTTACACCGCAAAGATTCGTGTGAATAATGTGACATGCGGCGGTTTATTCCGCGTCAAAGCCGTAGAATGGACGCTAATGCCGGATTCCCATAATGAGATTTTGCTCGCTATTTTCACTCATGACGTCGCTCGGGCTGCAAAAGCGTGAACCATAGCTGAGATGGTCGACGTCGATATTGAAAATCGCAAGCAGTATCGGACCAAGAGAATCAGGCATAACAAGTCAGTGATGGCCACTGGTAACAATTATCAACATCCCCTTGCATGTACTGTTTACACCGAGCCTACTTACCTCAACCAACCTTCAAACTTAAATCTTTTGAGGCCTGCACTTCTTATCGCAATTACCGGGTCAACGTTTGGTCTACGGGCCGCTGTTGTTTGAACGAGCAGACAACAACAAGCAGAACCGTTTGAAAGAGCAGACGACTGTTCAAACGATCACGCGGCCGTTTGAACTTGACGACGCACTGAACGTAGTCCGCAGGTGGTTCGTACAACTTGGCGGTTCCGCGTTCGTGTTGGAACAAAACAAATAAATCTGACGACCACAAGTTTCCGTAAAATCAACCCTAAGTGCTTCCCGCACTTTGCTAATGCGTAATCCAATGGCGTCTGTTTTTTTTTTCTTTCTTTTTTTTTTTTTTTTTTTGTGACAGTTTTGCTTTTCGGCGAGCCGAGCAGGCATAAAACGCGCGAAAACTGACCTTTAAACCTTTCTTGACTTTTTTGGTACAGCCCCAGTCGCGATGTTTTGACGAAAATGCATGTTTTTTTTTTTTTTGTTTTTTTTTTTGCCTTGTTTTTTCCAAGACAACACAGGAATGCACGCCTGGCATGGCGACTTCCGCCCATAGCCCCAAACCGGAGGTGCGCCCGACGGGCCACAACCGCGCCGTGACGTAACAGAGTTGAGTTCGTGTATATTATGGGGTCGGCGAGAGGATTTCAAGCGGGAGGGGGGAGGGGGCTGAACCTCAATAAGCCTTCCCCCAGTCTACGCCACCGCTCCGGCCTGCGTGAACAATGCAGCATGCACCGTGTGTGTGACCAGCACCTGATCAGCACTGGGTAAAGTTTCACCTCTAGAACACATTCGCCTTGAGGACGGTTACGATCGGACGCGACGTCATATGTTAGTTTCATCGGCTGCCGCCAGTTCAGTGCGCCACGGAGAAAAATCGCGCCGTCGCAGGTCCTGCAGAAGCAGAGATTTGTACTTCTCATTTTCTACTTTTGCTCTCTTCCTCGTCTTTAAAATCCTCAACTATCTCAAAATACTAGTTAGTGAAAAGACAAGGAACACGCGGAACCGCGACAAGGAACTATTTAGGAACGCTTTTGAGATTCCCTTTCAAAAAGTCTGGCAACGGTGAAGTAAAGAAGCTAGATCTGGCTGGGTATTAGCGCCGAGATGTTTCGGTGGCTCCCTCTTATGGTTTCCCTCCGTGACGTCACAACTGGGATTTGCCTCGCCGTGACGTCACCAGTTGTTATTCTGGCTACTTACCATCGGGTGCGACGACGAGTCCGATGGTGTGTTTAAAAAGCACAGTGGAAGCTAGGAGTCATCGCAATCCGAAACTAACACCGTCAAAGTTGACACTCTGACCGTGCTCATATACCCATGGTTTGGCCAATCGTGGAAAGCTGACCACAGCGACGCTTTTGGCCGCGCACATCGCTAATACTGGCAGCGGCCGCCATGTAGAAGGATGCTCCCGGTTTGTTTACGTCGCCCCAGTGCGAGCATCGTGATGTGGTGACGAGGTCTGTGCGATACAACTGCCGTTTCCTTATTTTGCGCTGAAAAATTATGTATCTTTCTTTGAGGTAAGAGCAAGAGACTGAGTGGTACCATTCATTTATTAAAAGTGAGAGTGAATTAGGTCCTTGAACGTTCTTTATCTGTTTCATAGGTGCGTTCGCCTCCACCTTCTTGTTGAAAATAAGTGAGTCCGTGGCTACGCGAGTTGAAAGGCTTGCTGTTGCCTCATCCTTTTATTCTAGAATCTATTCCCGATTAGTCACGAGCTTATGTAACACACAGTCCACGGTTGTCGCCGATCCGGTGACTAAGGGTCCACCGATTGGTTCTTGATGCGCTCGTAAGTCCTCCGACTGCCGAACTCACTAGCAGGTTGTAGACAGCACGCGAGGCCGGTAGGCTGCATGTCTACAAGCAGTTTTGCGAAGGCAGTGTCCTTTTCCGTTTTCTGGGATGGCGCTAGCATATCATATGTGTAGACTGGTTATGTCAAAGCCAAAATTGATTATATTGCAGTTCTCACTGAGCGGTTTTTAAGTTCTGCCACTGATTCTGACATTCGCACGCACACAAACAAAGTATCAACCTTAAAACTTGTAGCACAAGATTAATTTTAATTTATATTGCGCAATAAGTTGTGTCCCTAGACAAATCATTTTTCCACGCCTTGTTGAATCTAGTTGCAATAACGATATCCTTAGAAAATAATTGGAACACGTGCTATAACTACCAAATTATTGTGAGAACTTCACTTTGAATTGTACTTAGCAGTTTGAACGCTATAACTAATCAGCTGTTTAAATCTGCCAGACAAGCTCGTGAGGCAGTAGTTTTACTTATCTTCCGCGTCAACGAACGGAACTTCACACACGAATAAAGTCGTATTCAAAACCGATCGCCGCACATTTTTTTCATAAAGAACAATTGTAACCCAATCTGTAGTGTATGAGGCTCACTTGCAAACCTCGACGAACGACCTCGCCATGTCGAACGGGCAGTAGCCACCCCGATCTTGGCTGCCTTTTAGTCCTGACATCCAAGACAAAGACTATTCATCTGACTTCGCACAACAAACTGCGAACGTATAGTGAATAGCTTTGTAAAATTGAAAGGTGCGCAGACTGGCAAGCGCGACTCCGTATCCTTCAAGATGGCGTCGGGGGCTAGTAGCCTTTCCGTGCGACAGATGGCGCTCTTTTATCTAAAAAGTCTACCAAAAACACAACTGGAATTTTTTCTTTTTTTTTTGCAGCATTACGATTAGAGATTTTTAGATAACTACCCCTATGGCTTCGGTTCACCCACAGTGGTTCGCCCAAGCAGAGCCGTTTATACTGAGAGAGTTTGGCCGATGGGCGGAGCTTGTTGGCCGCTAGAACAAGCGGATTTCGCGATAACACAATATGGCGTTACTTCTTTGTCTTGTTCATTCCTGAGAAATCGCGTAGAGTTCCTATGAGTCAGATCCACAATATGGCGGACGGAAGTAGTCATCCCCCGGTTGTCAGACTACGCTGCTGTGGTTGTCAGACTGTCAAAATCTCCTTAAGAAGGCCAAACTCTCTCAGTATAAACGGCTCTGCGCCCAAGCAGCTTGGGGCGCCGTACTGCGGATGCTCACGAGTTCTGCGCACGCGCAAGGTGACGCGCCAAGCTGCTCAGGTGAACCCAATGCCCATTGGGGTCCCCTATTCTAAAAATCTCTGTGATGACGCTTGAATAGGAGGGCGCTAGAGCACTAGGAGTCTTCTTTCGCAAAGAACCGCCGTTAATTGCGCCTCTTCACATCAGCCTAAACATGTCCTGTCATCGACTAATGCGGCTCGTTTCGCCGAGCAATCTACTTCCTTAAATGTGATGTCTATTTTGATGGGTCCTTCTCTATGCCCTCGTGAGACGTCAGGCAGAATTCGCAAGTGCGAGTTTTGTATTAGCGTAGCTTTCATTGTTAGTGTAGAACGTTGTCAGTATAGTACGAATATTTTCACCTCTAACTATAGTCGGTTACAGGTGGAAGGGTACTAGGGTGGATTTCGGGACCCTTTTGTTATAGCGCAAATTCAATCTGTCCGCCCTAAGCATCATAGAAAACGCAAAACTATAACTGTGCGTGGCCTTTTTTTTTAATCGCAATTAAACATTACGACGCGTGTTTTTTTTTTTTTTTTTCTGAGGTATCTAGAAAAGGGACGCACCACGATGTTTGGTCGCACTTTTAAATGAAGAAAAGGACACGCGTGATTGTCTCGGATGCTTGAGGTGCATAGATTCAGTTCGCGAGATAAAGGACGATCTCATGATCCACTTTAGTGCTTCTTTAAGAGTTCAGGCGAGGCCCCTCTCCCAAACCTTTCCACTTTGGCACAGCGAACGCTGGAGAGGAGGCGATCTCCTCTCCAGCGTGCGTTCAGCTAAAGCGGAAAGAAGTTGGAGAAAATTACGATACTGCTGCTCAAAGGATCGACGGCCCCTTCTGCTTCATGGTGGTATAGGA